GGGCTCGATCCCAGGACCCTGGGATCATGACCTGAGCCGAAGGCAGACGCTTAACGACTGAGCCACCCAGGCGCCCCTATCCCTAGAGGTCTTGAAAGGACAACTAGTTAAGAAGACTAAAACAACGTGAATAATTATTTTATTGTATTTTAAAATATCAAAATATATTTGTTTATATTCTATCTACCTACAAAAAAATTTAAGCAGTTCCTAAAACAGCTTGAAAACAATAGGCTTTTTTTTAAAGTTTTTATTTCAACATGGGGCTCATACTCACAACCCAAGATCAAGAGCTGCGTGCTCTTCTGACTGAGACCCAGGCATCCCAACATTAAACTAACTTAAATAAAGAATGGTAAGGAACAGAGAACAAACTGATGGTTGCCAAAAGGGGGATGGGCAAAATGGGTGAAGAGGAGTGGGAGATACAGGCTTCTAGTTAGGGAATGAATAAGTCACAAGAATAAAAGGCACAGTGTAGGGAATATAGTCAATCACACTGTAATAGCGTTATACATACGGTGGTTTTATGGTGACAGATGGGAGCTACACTTGTGGTAACATACAGAGATGATGAATCACTATGTTGTGCACCTGAAACTAACATAATATTGTCAACTATACTCCAATTTAAAAAAAATTATTTTTTAAATAGTAAGGAAGGGACGCGTGGGTGGCTCAGTCGGTTAAGTGTCTGCCTTCGGCTCAGGTCATGATCCCAGGGTTCTGGGTCGAGCCCCACATTGGGGTCCCTGCTCCGCGGGAAGCCTGCTTCTCCCTCTTCCACTACCCCTGCTGTGTTCCCTCTCTCGCTGTCTCTCTGTCGAATAAATAAATAAAATCTTTAAAAAAAAACAGTAAGGAAACAGGTTTACAGAAACTCATGTTACACATACTTTTAACTCAATTTCATTCATTCTGCTCTTCCTGGTATATTTTAGTGTGGCAGAAGAAATATAAAGTTTACCACTATAACTACTTTTAAATGTACAATTCAGTGGCAGTAAGTATAGTCACAATGTTGTGCAACCACCACCAGTATCCATCTCCAGAACTTTTTTCATCATCCCAAACAGAAACTTTATATCCATTAAATAACTCTGTATTAACCTGTCCCTCAGCTTTGATAATCCTAAGTTAATTTATATCTATAAATTTATCTATTAGGTACCAAATATAAGCAGAATGGTATGATATTTGTCAGTGGTGTGTGACTTACTTCACGCAGCATGTGTCTAAGTTTCAATGACCATGTTGTAGTATGTGTGTGTCATAATTTCATTCCTTTTTACGACTAATATACCTCTGTATGTATATTCTGTTCATTTGTTAATCTGTTGATGGACATGTGGGCTGTTTCCACCTTTTGGCTATTGTGAATAATGCCACTATGAACACTGGTATACAAGTTACCTGGTTGAGTCCTTGTTTTCAATTTTGTGAGGTATATACCGAGGAAGTGGAATTGCTGGATCACATGGTAATTCTGTATTTAACTTTTTGAGGAACCACCAAACTATTTTCCATGGCAGCGGTACCATTTACATGCCCACCAAAAATGCATGGAATTCTAATTTCTCCACATTCTTGTCAACATTTGCTATTTTCCTTTTTTTTTTTATTACAGCTATCCTAATGGATATGAAGTGGTATCTCAGTGTGGTTTTGATTTGCATTTCTCTAAAGACTAATGATGCTGAGATTCTTTTCATGTGTTTATTGGCCATTTGCCTATCTTCTTTGGGGAAATGTCTATTCAAGTTGTTTGCTCATTTTTTAAATTGGTGTTTTTTCACGAATTTGTCAGCCTCGTGCAGGGGTCATGCTAATCTTCTCTGTATCATTCCAATTTTAGGATATGTGCTGCTGAAGTGAGCACTAATTGGGGTTTTTTGTTATTGAGTTAGAGGAGTTCTGGATTTTAATCTAACATCAGATATGTGATTTGCAAATATATTATCTTTTCACTCTTTGAGAGTGTCCTCTGATGCACAAAAGTTTGTAATTTTGATGAGCCCAGTATATTTTTTAAAAGAATGAAAACAAAGAAGGGTGGCAGCCAAATGGATGGCTAAAATGATAAAGACAGATAATGCCAAGAATTAGTAAGGATGTGCAACAAGCGGAGCTCTCATATATTTGGTTGGGGATAACTTGAGAACAGGCATATCCAGTGATCCAGAAATTCTGTTCATTATCTATACACAAAAGAATGCTCATCAAAATATACGTACAGAAATATCCATAGCAGCACTGTTTGCAAAGCCCAAAACTGGAAACGACCAAAATGTCCATTAAGAGTAGAATGGATAAAGTGTGGTATAATCATGCACTAGAATACAACACAATAATAAACCCTTCATTGATGGCATATATATCAAAGTCAGATGCTAATTTTTATTACTTACTACACTGTAGTAAGTGTAGTACACTAAATACACTGTATTTATACCAAAACTGTAAAGGTTACGAAGTTCAGTTGTGCTTCAAATCACAAGTCAGGAACACAGAAGTCTGATCAACAATTCAGAGCTCTGTAACTCTTAATCTGCAATTCTTCAATTCAGATACATTTCAAAGTCAAATCTAAAGTTATGAAAATCTTTAAATGTATTATCACTCACCTTCGCTTTTAAAAGGTCAGACATTTCAGAATGATTATTATATGGCTTTTGCTGCAGTGGTTGCCTGTGCTTTACCCACTGGTCACCAGGAGAACCTTCAGGAAACAACTGCTGACTGTGGCGGAATTTGGTTCGACTACACCAAGATTTAAAAAATAAAAACCAGATCACAAAATTTTCACTTAAAATTCTTCTAACACCTTGATAGTTTATCTTACAGATCACAAACTTTACTTTCCTATTTACTGTCTACCTCCCCGCATGGAATGCAAGTTCCGTAAGGGAGGGATTCTTACCTGCTTTACCTACTGCTCTATTCCCAGCACCCAGAGGAGTGCCTGGTGTTCACTATTTCTTGAATGAATGAATGAATGGTGTTATTTTTATTTTTAATCCCAAACTTTCCTAAATTATCCATATTACCTCCTCCCTATAAGTGATTATACCTTTAAAAACCTGAAGAAAATTCTAAATTTAGTTGAAACAAACAAATATAAGTGGATATTCCTTCTTATTAGGAGAGACAGCTCATTCTCAACCAGGATGTCTGAAGTGTGGAATTTGATCCTACACAGGTCGGTTACAAATCCCTTCCATGCTAAAAGAGGATCTGAAAATTTAAGCTATATTCTAAAGCAAAAAATTAAGGGGCCCAAGACAATAGATGAGCAAATTAAATAAAGGTCTGTGAAAGAATTTGATTGTAAAAGGTTGTACTCACACAGTATTTTGTAATAAAGAAATACCATTTTATAGTACCGCATATATGTATAGTAACAGTCCAGAGTCACTGATCCAAAGAACTGTACTACAGTGATTGTTTCTGAATATTTCAGAGTTCTTCTCCTTTCCCATTTAAAAATTATAATAAAATTGCAGCATGCCTACTTTCTTGAAACAAAATTCAGGTATTTCCTCCAACACATCATCACAGACATTAGTCTATATGCTAAAAACATACCATCTTGCCTAAGAAACCTGAAATTTGGTTCAAGTTGCTTCATAATGTCCTTACTCCACTCTCCAAGACCACAAAGCCTTAGGACTAAAAGATACGGGAGTCACATCACAAACTATGGTTTGTGTCTCCCAAACATGAACAGTCATACCACTGTTTTCCAAACACTGTCACGACTTTGTAACTTTTTAATAGTATGTTTCTTTTAAATCTTAGCTACACTCCTATTTTCCTACACTGTTTCATTTATGTCTAGTAGTATATAACTTGGTGATTATAATCACAGGTTCTGAAAGGCAGAAATGACTCTCAAGGCATTTAGTCCAAGCTCCTGTCCTCATAAAACCCAACTAAGAAAGAATATTCCCTATGTATTTAAAAAAATATTAACTCTAGATGTGGTTTGTTCCTGTTTAATTTTTGAAGCCCTCAGACAGAATCAGAACATCTAAATTAAATAAAATGTATAATGCAACTAACTCTCTGAACCTAACATATAAAAGTTCTAGCAAGCTTATTACAAATATATACGCTTATTTAACAAAATTATTTGCTCAGCCTACTCTATAATTGCAATTTGGATATAATTAAGTTCCAACCAAGAAAATGTTCTTTGTGGTTCCTGTCCATGTAACAGTCACTTTTTACAGTACAACAGTCTTTGTTAGGGAAAGAAAAGCAGCAAGCCCAAGTCTTCACAGTTCTATCTTTCTGAACAAATTATACATCAGCATTCCTCATCTCCCCTATACAAAAACAGACCTCAAAATATCCTCTATTCAACAATCTTCAGAGACGCAATGGTCTCTGAAGTAGGATATGAGAACAGAGAACAATAGCAACACACACAGTGGCAGATTTTTTTTCTTTTCCTCATGTTCTATCTACCCATCTAAAAAGTTGGTACCCTCTTGTGCATACTATTTTAAAATGTGCCTGAAGCTCCTTTCCAACTCCAATTAACCTTTTTCATCTCATCAAAAACCCTTTAAAATTTTTTTCTATTATCTCTAAGACCAGTAACAAAATAATATACTACAAAAAGGAATCCAACACTTCTGTAAACTTCAGAAGGAAAATGCTACTGGCATTAAAAACTATCAGAAAGTAGGAATCCTATGAATATATTTCTTTACCTCAATTTTTCCACAGTGGGTTTAGCTGGTGTGCTACCGACTGAGGAAAATCCATTGTCACTGTCTGAGGAATCTCCAAATCTCCGCGAAAGCCAGTCCCTTAGTGGTCTACGGAAACATTAAGAATTCACTCTTAAAACTTAGCTACATAAAAAAACAACCAGAATTAGTTTTGTACTTCAAGAAATAGGAACATACCTGATAAAGGGAATGGCCATAAAAAATTTGTTAGGTGCCAAACCAAGTTTGGATTTCGGGGTCATATCATTTCTATGACAGGGCAATTTCTCAATGGAGAACCACTCAATGTTCTGAGACACACAAAAAATAATTCATTTAGTTAATTATCATCAAGGAGTTTCTAAAAGCAATTTCCTACTTCATTCAATTGGGATACCGTCCAGCAGCCTGAAAATACTTTCAATTACATACCCGAATTTCTCTTCTGGTTTTCGGGTTAAATTTTGTGTCTTTTGGAATTCCTGGAATGATGTACAAACGAGCAAGCTGGTCATTGATTCGAAGTTCAATGTAATCATCTTTACAAATATAATCTTTGATATCAAAACCAGTTTCCTCAAAGACCTGGAAATAACAAATTGAGATGGCGATTTTCAATTGTTGCTGTTAGATCTCCAGTTTGTTAAAATTTGTTTCAAAGCAAAAACTCAGAAATATCCAGGCAATTAAAGGCATGAAAACACCAGGCAAGAAATCAAAATATTCTAGGATCTAGTTCTAGCTCTGAACTGTTCAACTATGGATAAACCCTTTTATATAGCTAAGCCCAAGTTCTTCACCTATTCAATGAAGGAAGATGTGTGATACTGTGATTTACAAAAAGAAATATATATTATTTGGTCTTCATCTCCTTTCTGATACAAAGCTCCTAAAACCCTTGGAATTTCCTAATCGATGAAAGCAACCAAGGTACCTTTTGTCCATGTTACTAAGGTGACTTTTGGATCCCACCTAAAGATGGGGGGCTGATTGCCAGGACAACCAACCAAGGGATCAGAGGATTAGAACTCTCAGTCCACCCTCAACCCCTACCCCACCTCCAACCTCCATGAAGGGGACGAAAGGCTGGAGACTGAGCTCAATGGTCAACAGCCAATGATTAAATCAACCCTGCCTGCATAAGGAAGCCTCCATAAAAACCCAAGAAGTGGGGGGACATGACTTCCAGGTTGGTGAACGTGGAGATTTGGAAAGAATGGTACACTAGGAGACAACATAGAAGTTTTGCACCCTTTCCCCATATCCTGCCCTCTGTAGCTCTTCCAGCTGGGTGTTCTTGAGTTATATATCCTTTTAAATACACTGGTGATCAAGTAAGTAAAATGTTTCTCTCAGTTCTGAAAGCCACTCTAGCAAATTAAACCCAAGGAGGGGGTCTTTGGAACCTCCAATAGGTCAGAAGCACAGACAACAACCTGGACTTGCAAGTGTTATCTGAAGTAAAGGGCAGTCTTGTAGGACTGAGCCCTTAACCTGTAGAATCTGATGCCATTTCCAGGTAGACAGAGTCAGAACTGAGCTGAACTGTAGGACACCCAACCAGTATCTGACAATTGCTTGTTGGTCTTAGGAATGCCACCCCCACCCCCAAACACAAACACATTATAATTGAGTCTGGAACTCTTAAAATGTTAGAATACAGCAGCAGTTCCCAGTCTGTGGAAAGTACATACTGGGACCACATATGGATTTTAATCATAGCATCTACAAATCTACACGTACGCCAAGCTACAGACTAAAAATTGCCTTACACATATAAAACTATTTTTTGGGCTAGGTGCCTCAGTCGGTTAAACATCTGCCGTTGGCCCAGATCATGATCCCAGAGTCCTGGCACAGAGTCCTGCACTGGGCTCCCTGCTCAGTGGGGAGTCTACTTCTCCTTCTCCCGCTGCCCCTCCCCACCCTGCTCGTACCCTCTCTCTCTTGCTCTCTAATAAAATTAAAAAAAAACAAAAACTATTTTTCAAAAATGAAAACTGAATTGTGATTAATCCTAACATTTAAATGGACAGATTCCAAAAGTACAGCTACAACCCCATGTGTGGGGGTCTGGGGGTGGGGAGGTGAATGCAAAAAAACTGAAAACCAGTGAAATAGACTCGTGGTTCTAAAACTGCCTTCCCTCAGCAGTGCCTCAAGGGCTGGAAGAGGAGGAACTAGGAGAACATATATCTCAGGAACTGATGTTACATCTAACCTTCACCTCTTCCCTCAACCAGAGAAACCACATTTATTCTGATTAACGCACTGGGCTTCTGTATAAAGTAAAAAAACCACTAGTCTCTTCTGGCCTTAAAGTTCTCCTTCAAATAACATTTGTATTACTCTGACAAAGGCCTTCCCAACTTCACCCCCACCAATCAAAAAGGCTTTGAATTCTCAGTGGCTAGAACCCACTGTGGATCTTTTACACATCCCTAGTTCCTCCCCTTTCCTCTGGTTTCAGCATCTCTTAACCAACCAGTGGGACAGAAGATGTTAAAACACATGGACAGGCCTGAATCTCTTACAAGGTACAGGTATGAAGGAGCTATTTCTACTCATTGTCTCTTCCCTCTCTGTCAGTTCATGTACCTCTTTCTACATTCCTCAAAAAAGGCACAGCTATCCTTCTCCCAGACATGTGCAGTTTAGGACTCCCAATTTAAGCTCCTCCATGACACCCAACTCATTTCTGTCACCCTTTCTGTAAGCCCCTAAGTATGCTAAACCTCCTATTCTTCATTAAAAAATGAAAAAATTTAAAAACTAGGTGAAGGGTGCCTGGGTGGCTCAGTCGTTAAGCATCTGCCTTCAGCTCAGGTCATGATCCCAGAGTCCTGGGATAGAGCCCAGCAGGAAGCCTGCTTCTCCCTCTCCCACTCCCCCTGCTTGTATTCCGTCTCTCACTGTCTCTGTCAAATAAATAAATAAAATCTTAAAAAAATAAATAAAAACTAGGTGAATATACTCACTTAAAAAATGTTCTGTGGTATATAGAAAATGAGAAACATTATTTGTATTTCCTACTTCTGGAAATGTCAGACTGGGTATCTAAGTACATATGTGGTATTGAAAAAAAGGAAGTTCTCTTGTCCTATGTTTCTTTATATCTACATCAGGTATTGTAGGTATACAGAGAAACAGTCTATTAAAGGTGGTCAGTGACATTCAAACACAGCAAAACTATGTATCTTTTCCAGAACAACATTCTGAAGCTCAGTGACAGAGGTTTCATACCTCCCCAAATCTTAACATTTATATACACAAGACAATGTAATTAAAACCATCATGTGGATTTACTTTGCAATGCATATATGCTATCTGATGTTTGCATTAAAGCAAAATCCAGATGCTTTAGTTTTCCTTTTACTTAAAACAAAGGTCTACTCTACTGCTTGAGATAGAGCTTAAAAGCATTTTTGATTATAAATCAACCTTAATGGATATTAGATTTATAACAATTAAGACTGGGGCACCAAAAAAAAAAAAAAAAAGACTGGGATACCTAAACAGGAAACTGCTTCTCTTCATCAAAGGGAAGACATAAACCACAAGACATTCACAATACAATCCAGAATATATTGGAAAGTCCTATCAATTAGACAAGTAACCCAACTTTTTAAAAATGGGTAACATGTAAGTGGGTACTTAATCAAGAAAACATTCAAATGGCCAATAAGAACATGACAATGTGCTTAAAATCCTTAAACTTCAAGAAAAAACAAATGAAAAATACAATGATAAAGCATTACATTCCCATCAGAATGGCTAAATTTTTAATTGAGATATAATTAACAGATAACATTCTTATATTAGTTTCAGTACAACACAATGATTTGATATTTGTATATACTGTAAAACGACCATAAGATTTTCTGTACTTTTACTGATATATAATTGACAAATATCACTGTATAAGCTTAAAGTGTACAGCATAATGCTCTGACTTACATATATTGTGAAATTACCACCTTAAGTTTAGTTAGCAACCCCTGCCTCATATAGATAGAGTAAAAAGAAAAGGCAAAGGGATTTTTTTTTCCTTGTGATGAGAACACAAGATCTACTCTCTCAACAACTTTCATATATATCATACAGCAGTGGTTACCTATAGTCATCATGCTGTATATTACACCCCTATTACCAAGCTATAATGGGAAGTTTGCACCTTTTGACCATGTTCCTCCAATTCTCCCTAGCCCCCATCCCCACTTTCTGGGCACAACAAATGTGATCTCTTTTTCTGAGACTGGTTTTTTGTTTTTTCTTTTTAGATTCCACATATAACTGAGATCATACAACATTTATCTTTCTCTGACTTATTTCACTTAGCATAATGCCCTCATGGTCCATACATGTTGCACAAATGTCAGGATTTCCCTGATAATGGCTGAATAATATCCATTTTGTGTGCAGGTGTGTATGAATATATACACCCCACAACTTCTTTATCAACTGTCAATGGACACTTAGGTTGTTTCCATTTCTTAGCTACTGTAAATAATGCTATGACCATGGCTACAGTATCTTTTCAAATTAGAGTATTAGTCTCTTTTGAATATATTCCCAGAAGTGAAATTCCTGGATCATATGGTAGTTCTATTTTTTTGAGAAACCTCCATACTGTTTTCCATAGTGGTTACACCAGTTTACAATCTCACCACCAGTATAAAACAGTTCTCTTTTCTCCACATCCTTACAACATTTGTCATTTATCTTTTTGATAATCAGGCCATTCTAACAGGTGTGAGGTGATATCTCATCATGGTTTTTTTTTTCTCTCATTGCGGTTTTGATTTGCAATTTCCCTAATGACTAGTGTTACTGAATATCTTTTCATCTACCTGTTGGTTATTTGTGTATCTCCCTTGGGAAAATCTCTATTCAGGTCTTTTGCCCATTTTTAATTGGATTATTAGGGGGTTTTTTGCTATTGTGTTCTAGGAGTTCTTTATATATTTGGGGTATTAACCCCCAAAATAGTTTGCAAATATTTTTTTCCATCCTATAGGCTGTCTCTTTACTTTGTTGATGCTTTCTTTTGCTGTAGCTTTTCAGTTTGATGTAGTCCCACTTTTTTTTTTTTTTAAGATTTTATTTACTCATTTCAGACACAGAGATAGAGAGAGAGAGAGAGCATGAGCAGGGAGGGAGGGAGAAGCAGGCTCTCCGCTGAGCCAGGAGCCCAACTTGGGGCTCGATCCCAGGAGGCAGACGCTTAACCATCTGAGCCATCCAGGTGCCCCGTCCCACTTGTTTTTTATTTTGTTGCTCATGCTTTAGGGATCACATTAAAAAAGCATTGCTAAAACCTATGTCCATGAGCTCTTTTCCTATATCTCCTTCCAGAAGTTTCATGGTTTTAGGTCTTACATTTAATTCTTTCATCCATTTTGAGTTAATTTTTATGAGTGGTATTAAGACAGGGGTCTAGCTTCATTCTTTTGTCGATGTCTAATTTTGCCAGCACCCTTTACGGAAGAGACCATCTTTCCTCCCTTGTGTTTTCTTGGCTCCCTTGTGAAACATTAGTTGACTGTATATGCTTGGGTTTATCTCTGGGCTCTCAATTCTGTTCC